ACCTCTGTGCTCACGGCAAAATAAATAAATGCTTGTGCTGCGTTTCATACATTGTGGCAAACGCACCCGTCCGTACACTTAGGTTATCTCCATATAGGGAAAACGTTATGTATGATAGGCCCGGTATCCTTTGTTCTTCAGCCAATATCTGCCTGATTTTCAGAAAACTTCACTGGTTCAAAACGGTGCATGCACAAAGACCACTTTTGTTATCGTTTGCAGCCATACAAATTAAAGGTCCTGGCTACAGCAGAACCATTTGCAGAGATCAGGTAGGATTTGCTCACAGTCAAGAGGCTTGCTTTATTTTTAGGCTGTCTTGAATTGGTACAACTTTCCTCCACCAAACATATTCGCATAGTGCAAGAAAATCTCTTGCCAGTGTTTGGAATTTGAGATTGCATATACATTCCACTAAGGGGGTTTAGATATAACCCTTTTCTCCCTTCCAAAAGGTTATTCCCACATTACCAGGTGGTGTACATTCTCCATATGTGTGTGTATGTGTGTGTGTATCTATATATATCTAGATATATATAGATATATATATAGATATATACACACACACACAGATTGTTATTATTCCATTTGTGTGTCCATGTATAAGGGGTACATACACACACTTTATTTTGTGCCTGAATCAGTGGCCTGGCACATATCCATGTGCGTGCTTTCATGCACAAACCAGATCTTGGTAAAATCTAACTCACTAAGATTCAACCAAATGCTGACAAGCATCGTCTCCATTGACTGTTAGCTCTGTGTAAGATGAGCGCCGAGCACTGTGTGTTAAGCTTCAAAAGAAAGCCATTCTTCATACACAATTGTCTGCATAATTTGTGTAGGGTTATGTGACATATAGATCTCTATCGTGCTACCTGCTATGATTTTTTTTTATTAATTGTGCAATCAAGAAAAAAAGTTATGTTAAACTATTAAAAGTCTGAAGTGTTACCAACTTTGTAATTTGTACAAATGCACATACACACACACACACACACACACAAAGAAAAAAGATTAAAAGGACAATTTTATTGTTTGAACTGTACAAGTGGGTGGGGCGGGAAAAGAAATCTCTATCTTTTGTACAACCAAATTGTGCATAGCTGTTTCAAAGCCAGTTGTATGATAGAATGGACTGTACATAGAGACTGCTGAGTTGTAAATATTGATGCAGCTTGCTCTAAAAGGTTGGGTTTTTTTCCCTTCTACTGAAAGTGAAGTTTTGTTCACTGTTGCTGTGTTTGTTTGTTTTTGTTCTTCATGCCCACTAAGCAAGCATTGTGGGTTTGCCTTCCTGTTTAAATAAAAATAAAAAAGGGGGGGAGGGGAGCTTGTTGCCAGCAAAATCAGTTCTCTTCCGATTTTTGTGTGCGGTTTTGAAAACGGTTATTAAAGATATCAGGAAAAGGGCAAGCCATTGATAACATAAATGTGATCCCAATCTCTGGATGGAACCTGGTCGTCTTATCATTATCAAATGATAATGATAATATATCGCATGAAGTCGAAGGCTTTCACAGCTGGCATCCATAGTTTTTTGTGGGGTTTGGGGCTATGTGGCTATCTTCTGGAAGAATTTATTCCTGACATTTTGCCTGCATCTGTGGCTGACATCTTCATAGGGACAATGCCAGCCACAGATGCAAGCAAAACGTCAGGAATAAATTCTTCCAGAACATGGCTCCATAGCCCGGAAAACCCACAAAAAACTATAATATATCGCCATTGATTTAGCGCCATTGATATACATTGCCATCGATGTACATGGCGCTTTACAACAGAATAAAACATTCACAAGACTAAAAATACAATGCTAAAAGGCAATATTTAAAATGCAATAGTAACCTACAATGCCAAAAAAAAAAACCCTACATGCACAAACACAAAATACAGAATAAAAGAGATAATCAATATAGAGCATTCATTTGAAATTCCAAAAGTTGTCCGTTTGGATTTAAAAATGGCAAGTGAAGGAGCAGTCAGCAGGTTTACAGAGAGGCAATTCCAGGAATAGGGGGTGGCAAAGAGAAAAAGGATGCAGCCGATCCAAGGAGGAAGAAACCCTTGGCTGGGTGAGAAGCCCAAATTTCCAGATTTCTAACAGGCTGGGAAGAAGATCGAAGAGCTGCAAGATAAGAAGGAGCTAGGTTATACAGAGCCCTGAGTATCGGAACAAAGAGCTTATACTGAATCCTCGAGGGCTGAATCCTTTTCTGTTGTGAGCCACCTTCCAGCTCCAGTAATCTGAGCAGAAAGGCATGCCAACAGAGTCTGGCACCAGAGCCCAATGCCACCCCTCTTGTTTTTCCATCCCTCCCCTTATAGCATGTAGCATAGCACGTACATTTCTATACCACTTATCAGTGAACTCAGCACTTCCTAAGCGGTTTACAATGTGTAAGCCAACTGCCCCCCAACAAGCTGGGTACTCATTGCACTGACTTACAAAAGGATGGAAGGCTGAGTCAACCTTGGAGCCCTGCC